TGAGAGAGAGAGAGAGAGAGAGAGAGAGAGAGAGAGAGAGAGAGAGAGGGATCAAATCACGCCTCACCTTGAGCTATACAAAATCCCAGAAATGTTGCATAATTCACCATGTCTTTGGCTTGTAGTTTAAGCGTAACCGTCTCAGAATGTGATTGCCAGAGGTTTGAATCCTGTCTGTTAGCTGGAAGAGAATTTAAAAAATCGTCACTAATGTCTGAGGACATTATGGGCAGTGCTATAAAACCTTCGGTGGTCTTTCTTATTCCGATTGTGTCTACACATTCCCCCAGCTGAGGAGCCATGTAAAGGTGGCATGTTTTTCAAATCGTAACCGATGCCTGGGGTTAAATGGCAATTAGAATCGTTTATATATTCATGTATATACACACATATGTTATAAATAGACTTAATATTATAATAATTATCTCCGCTTTGTTTCTTTATTTCCTTGCTAGTTTCCAATCAAAAAAATAATGATTACACAAATCATGGTTCAAATTACTGTCATTCGAATAAAGACATCAAGGGCCATCTTACAATGTTATTACTTTCGTTTTTTTCTTTATTTCTTTCCGATTTTTCATTTTTTTAAAACGAGTTCCCAAGGTTCTAGTTGGGGCGCTCCCGTTTTCTGTAATTTTCTCAAAACTTAAAAAAGAAATAATAAGATTATGAAATTACTCTTTTTTTGTTTTAGTAAGAGTTTTACGGAGCTCGCAATTGCATAAGGTTATATGAACGCGTTGAAATGACTCTGACGAAAAAGTATTATAAATTTAGGGAGCTTTTGAGAACTTCATAGAAGGAAGAGAAATCAAATGAGTTAATGATGAAAGAAACCAATGTGGGATAGCCAATAATAAATACAATTAGGAAAAGGCAAAAATTTCAACTTCTGGGAAATTTGAATCGATATAGATCTTGAACGTCTTGCTCTCGCTGACGAAATAGAAAGCAACGAGGCAGATATAGACCAGAAATAACTAACTTAGAGAATTTGAACCGATGGGTGAAGGGAAAAGACCAGGATAATACAGTTTTCAAGAGGTTTTTTTTAACGCATTTGAGTGGAGTAATGACTAGGAACAAAGATTGCTGATGTCAGCTTCAGACCTAGCACATGAAGAAGAAAAATTACAAACCATCATCATCATCATCATCATCATCATCATCATCATCATCATCATCATCATCA